CTATCTATCTATCTATCTATCTAACCTTACTGTGCTTATATGATCATGAAATATAAAAGTACATGAAACTTCTTCCCAATGTGTTGTGCCAATCAGAATTCTATAACTTTTCTTGTAATTATCAGTACCATTCCAAAAGTCCCCCCACTGGCCTTAAAACTTGAGAATCTAATTCAGAAAGGTTAGACTTCATAAAAGTGATCAAAGGGAAAAGAAAGAAGTGAAGCCCAAAGTGTTAAGGTTGAATTGATTTCAACAAAACTTCCATTTGATTACACAAGAACAACTTTATGTGGATGGAGTGATAAAGCGGTGTTACCCTTTTGGTGTTGCCTTTTTTAAAAAAATATATATATCCCTAGTTCTGAGATGTTTTGAGATGGCCGGGGAATGCTGTACTAAGATACTGCAAATCAACTTTATACCTCTGGGGCAACATTCTGGAACAGTTGAAATCATATAAGTATTGAACTGCCTTTCAAAAATGACATTGGAGTTTCGACACAATGTTTGACTTTTATAATGCATAACTTGCCTTGGAAAAGCTACTTTTCTGATCTATCAACATTAGTACCTCCAAGCCAGCATGGCCACTGACTATGTTGAGTAGGAGTCCTGAGATTTATAATCCAAAAGATAACATTTCCAAGCACTATGTGTGAACACTAGCAACATCACACTATACTCCACTTCTCTGGTGCAGGTGCTACAAAGAGTTTGGAGGCATTGACTTCTGCTTTTAAACTGAGTTCCATAATATCTAATTATTAAAAAGCCAGGATCATAACCATGGTTTAATCCTGGCTTGTTTGGAGAAACTTGAGTTTAGAGTTTACTCATAAACATATTCACCTAAAATTTCACTCAAAATTATGAGATTTTACAGTAAAACCAAATGACAAAATGGCAGGGAAATCAACAAAATTGCATGATAAAGCAATAAACTTATAGGTTTTTTTTTTTAAGGCTTGGTTAATTAGGAGACTCTTACACTGAAATTCAGAACAAAAGACCAAGTAAGCTATTTTACAAGGATATTCCATGGGTTGAAGATGACATGGCCCTTCTTTAAAAAGGCCCTTCTCTGGCTGGAAACAGATTATTAGAGAGAGCCCATACTTTGAGCCAAAAGGACTGGGTCAGGAGGAGCCGCTGTATGTTTACATCAGATGCTGCTGATAAAGGATGTGAGTGGTTCAGTATAGTGGACTTGTACAGCAAGAGTTAGATGACCTAATAACAGGAAATGATTAACCAAAAGCTTATGTGAATGCATGTTGCTACCTTAAAAACCCACAGACATCAAGGGGGAGGCTGGGAAAGAAAGTGGTGTGTTGACAACAAGACGTCTGGAGGAAGAGCGGAGCCATAAAATTAGACAGATTAGGAACTGACTTCCTTTCAGACCCTAATGGATATCATTAAAAAAATTTAGCTTTTTGTCATAAAAACTGACTTTTTGGGAACTTATATTTGTCTCATTTTCTCTTTGGCAGATAATTACAAATTTAAGAATGGCACTAAAGATTATTTATTGTGTTCCAATAGCTCAGATGGTGGGTAAGTGTGGTTAACCGTCATTCATTCGATATTTTTTAAGACGTTCCTGCTTGCTTTGGCCATCGGCTAGAACGTAGATTAAAACTGAATAGAAAGAATGATTGCTAATTCAGATAACATCACTATAAACCCTTAGGAAGAGATTTTTTCCACTAGTTGTGATTTCAATCCATCCCTTTTTCTTTCTCCTCCCTGTACAAGACCTACACTCTAAAATTCTTTTTCCCCCCCAATGGAAGCTATTACACAATAATATCGGCACATCCTTTTGGTGCACCAAATCTTGGTGAATGCTCCCCCATGTGGTGAGGTGTACGATTTACCACTAGTTCCCATAGATAAAACTGTTTAATGCTGAAGTTTTCAGACAAATCTTCACAAAAAGAAAATTCTTCACAAATATTCTCATGTACTGGTGTGGTTTCTTTTTCACATTTGAACACGGGAGATTTGTGTCACTTAGAAAGCTATTATCCATAGCTCCTGTCCGCCGGAGTACGTATGCCTGAAGGTTGGAGAGAACCCTGACTATAACTTCACAAGCTTTGATACTTTCGGATGGGCCTTTCTCTCCCTGTTTCGCCTTATGACACAGGATTATTGGGAACGCCTCTATCAACAGGTAGAGATTTATTCTTCTTATTTTTTTCTTAAAATAAACAACCTGTGAAGAAACTGCTTTGAAATGGGTGCTCTGCAGCAAAGTTGTAACTAGCAATTTTGGTGCCCGAGGCATCCGTGTTCTACCGGTTAAGCCTGGATCACACAATATTGACATACACAAAAGAGGAGACTGAGAAATGAGGAGGACGGTCTGAGCAACTGGGCTGCAGCCTTGGCAGGAGGGAGAGGAACTCCTCCGGTGCAACACTTTAGATTCCTGAAGAAGAAAAAAACAACACCAACAACCCTGGACAACTTCGCTAAAAGCCGACGCTTGGCTAGGGGGCCAAAGTGGCCAACCCGTTCTTGAGGGAGACAAGAGAGAACAACCTGGGGGAAGGGAGCGTCCTTCAAGGGTGGCAGACGCTGACTGTGTCTCCCCTTCCCTCTCTGTTCTCTCTACCCCCTGCCATTCGGGGAGACAGGAACGGACAGAGACAGCCAGACCTCCCTCAAGCTGAGGGAAATTCAGGCCCCCTCCCCTCGGCCCCTTGTCTCCTCCTCCTCCACTCCCAAACCCCCTCCTTGAACAGCGGGCCTGGGCTTGGGGAGACGGGGGCCACAAAGGAACATGCGCCTGGGTGGTATTGCTGTGACTGCCACAGCTGCTTGCAAGAAGAGGGCAGGAACCACACGTTGTTGTTGTTTTGCAAGCTCGACATTCAGCTAGGCAAACATATGGGTCGCCCAGTTTAAGAAGCTTTGGTCTAAAGCGGTATGGTCTATTTGAGCCATTCTCAATGGAGGCCATACTATATGGCCTTCTGGGGAGTCGGGGGGAGACCCTGGCACATTTGAACAAGGCCACAGAGTGGAAACAATACTTCACGCACCACTTCATAAGGTTCGTTATGCGACTTGGACAATCGTGATTCGGCCTGTCTTTCTCTCATATTGTGTTTACGGCCATGATGGAAAATAGGGTTCAGAAGGGCTGGTCTATTTTAAAATACAAGGACTGCATAACGCCACTGCCATTACAACCAAGTTTAATGTATAGAACAGGCTGTATATGAAATGCACAGCATGGGAATGACTGTGTTACAGCTGCTTTCCATATGGTTTGGGTAGTGTAAGAAAACCTAAGCTGCTGGTTTCTGGGAACCAGAGCATTCGCCTGAGGAGAAGCTGCAGCAAACGGCAGTGGCTGTTTACATTACTAAAACTGTGCAAGAAGCATATGTTGGGTGATGGTTCCCACGCTGCACATCCAAAGTCAGATGATTAGCTCAGTAAGCTTAAAGTGATCACTAATGGAGGAGGATGGAGATATCAAAACAAAGATGCATAGAGAGAATTAGAGTATTGTTTATGGATTTGCTTGTCACACATTTTCTCTCCTCGATGCCACTTGCTTTCAAGATATTACAGCGGTGCCTCGCTAGACGATGATAATCCGTTCCACTGAAATCGCTGTTTAGTGAAATCATTGTCTAGCGAAAAGCATTTCCCCATTGGAATGCATTGAAACCTGTTTAATGCGTTCCAATGGGGAAGAATCGTCATTGTCTAGCGAAGATCGGCCATAGGAAAGACGCTTTGCGAACCGCCGATCAGCTGTTTAAATAGCTGTCTTGCGAAGCTTAGATCCCCAAAACACCCGTTTTGTGAGTGCGGAGGGAGCTGTCAGAATTGTTGTCTAGCAAAAATCAGTTTGCAACGCAGGGCCCAAACATTGTCCAGTGAAATTCCCCCATAGGAATCACTGTTTTGTGAATCGCTATAGCGATTGCAAAATGTCAATGTCTAGCAAAAAAACTGTCATGCGGATTAACTGTCTAGCGAGGCACCACTGTACTTGGAAAGCATAGCAAGGGGAGTTTACATAGGGTTGCTTATTGCCCACTGTGGAGCGTCTCTTAATCACTGGTTTTCAACATCTGAAGTTGCTTCTAGTGGTGATTAGTTTGGCAGTGGCTGGGTGGGTCTGCCTTAAGATGGAGGACGTGTGTGTGAATTCAGTAACTTTTGATTGCTTTGTCATGCACAGGGTTTGAATGAGTAATGGCCATGCACATTCACCACAGGTCTAGAAAACTAATTCAAAGGATTATGATTACATTAGAAAACCATTTCTTCTTCAAAATGGAAATGGATCGCGCCCAATGCTGGCAGCAAAATGAAGACAAGAGATGACAGAAGAACCGATAAATAAATATGCAGAATAATTTTGGAATTTTTCACCTTTTCCAATCTTTTTTGTCCCATTAGCTGAGCTAAATTTTAGTGCTTTTTAAAAACTGAACGATTTAATAACTTCCTAAATATTACTTTCTGTAAGTAAGGAAAATTATATATTTAAACGCTTAAGCAAATACTAAGTACTGTATTCTTTCTAACTTCAGACCCTCAGAGCTTCTGGGAAGATCTATATGCTGTTTTTCATGCTGGTCATATTTCTCGGATCATTTTATCTCGTCAACTTGATCTTAGCCGTGGTCACGATGGCATATGAAGAACAGAGCAAAGCCACTATCGCTGAAACAGAGGCAAAAGAAAGGAAATTTCGTGAAGCTATGGAAATGTTAAAGAAAGAACAGGAGGTCTATATGTAATTCTTTGCTAATCTATAACTACTGTGTTTCCTACACATATGGCCTGTCAGTAGTAATTTTCAAACTGTGCAGGGGCATATTAGTACATTGAGAAATATGTTAATTAGATGTATAACAATTTATAAATGCATGCTTTCTGTTCACCCACTGAAGAACTTGTCCAATGTGTTTCTCCTTATTTACTTCTCTTGCGCTTCCTCTTTCTAATCAGTCTTTGTTAAGGTCAATTGCTCCTTCTACCACATACAGTGATGCCTTGCAAGACAAAATTAATTCATTCCACGAGTTGTGCCGTATTGTGAACATTTCGTCTTGCGAAGCATGGCCATAGAAAAATTCGTCTTGCAAGTCACCCAAAAAATCGCGAAACGCTTTCGTCTTGCAAGTTTTTCGTCTTGCGAGGCATCACTGTATTTGCATCACATGTATTTGACTACTTCAGTTACATCCAGTGTTAAAACTCAGCCAGTTACTTGCCCTTCCAGTGAGCTTGGAAGAAGTGAGGTACATTGTTAAAACTCAGCCAGTTACTTGCCCTTCAACGAGGTGGTCTTGGAAGAAGTAAGTACACGAAACATGTGGGCTGAGCTCCTTTGGAGGGGGCTACTTTGTGTTTTTTAAATACACTTACTTGGAAAACCCTGAAAAGGTTCACCGTAAGTCACAATTGACTTGGCGGCACATTATTATTATTATTATTAGCCTTGAGCGTGTGTGAGTATAATTGAGTACATTCAGTTTTAATTTGGAAGAAAGAGCACCTTGTGTATCAAAACTTTGGGTGGTGTTAGCCTATAGCGTGTCTAGTGCTTTGCAAAAGACTCAGGGTATACAGCCTGTTTATGGTGTGTCAGACCAAGAGACTGGGCCATAGCTATTTTGCTCGTTCAAGATATTTTGCCAGCATTTTCAGGAATGTGAAAGCGGAGCCCACATGTGAAGGACATACTGTATGCAGTTGGATCTGTCCAGAAGATGTTGAGGTATAGTTTGGGAAAGACAACTAGACACATAGAAATGCTTTGTTCGTGGCTATATCTTGGAGACAAATTTTTAAAAGTATATCATAACTGATCTACAGTTATTCACACAAATTTTGCATCATCCCTTCTCCGAGAAGTTATTCATGAGCTGCTTGTCCTCTGGAAGCCTCGAGATACGAGGAAAAATATAAACGGAATCTTCAGGTCTTCACATAGCGAATAAATCTCAATATAAGATTAGGGAATGGCTTTCAAATCATACTGGCCTAAAAAATCCACTGATAGTTCCAACTAAAGGACAGCCATTGAATCAATGACTGAGTAGTAACACTTACATTAAAAATTTCTGGATAGCTCAGTGGTTTAGGCATCTGGTTGCAGATCCAGAGGATGGGAGTTTGATTCCCCTCTTGTGCCTCCTTGACAGGGGCTGGACTTGATGATCCAGAGGGTCTTTTCCAGCTCTGCCGTTCTAAGATTATTATAATATTATTATTAAACCCCATTGATTCAGTGGGTCCCCTCTAGTTACACTTACCCAGTTGGTTTCAGAGCTGCCTGTTCAGAAACTCAAAACCCAGGGTTAAAACACAGCTATTATGAGGGACGTGGTGGCGCTGTGGGCTAAACCGCAGAAGCCTGTGCTGCAGGGTCAGAAGACCAGCAGTCGTAAGTTCGAATCCACGCGACGGAATGAGCACCCGTCGCCTGTCCCAGCTCCCGCCAACCTAGCGGTTCGAAAGCATGCAAATGCGAGTAGATAAATAGGGACCACCTCGGTGGGAAGGTAAACAGCGTTCTGTGTCTAAATCACACTGGCCATGTGACCACGGAAAGATTGTCTTCGGACAAACGCTGGCTCTATGGCTTGAAGAGCGGGATGAGCACCGCCCCCTAGAGTCAGACACGACTGGACAAAAATTGTCAAGGGGAACCTTTACCTTTACTTTATTATGAGCAAGAAAAATATGTCAAGTCTGACATTTAAAAAAACACATTAAAATCATGGAAGAAAGGGGGGGGGGAAACACACCTGTGGCTTATTCAGATTAGCCCATAGAATCAATACCTGTGGTTCGGATGTTATCATACCACCCAGTAATTTTTTTAAAAAATTGGAGATGTGATTTCTCATTTCATTCCTGTGTTTCTACATTTTTTAGGAATTAGCTGCCAAAGACTGTGACAGCATGTCTTACAGTTCATTTGAAGTCTCACCGGTAGCATCTAAGGAGATAAAAGAACGAAGAAACAGAATGAAGAAGTTATCATTAGGGATGGAAGAATCGGCGGAAGATCCAAAACTCCCTAAATCACAGTCTAGTGACAGCCATCAAAAACCGGTAATTCGGTGTTTCAGGCCTTGCTTGTCCAAATGTCTTTAAACTTTAATTGCATTTCCCCCCCATAAATGAAACAATTCAAACTGAGACGGTGTGCGCATGCAGAAACCAAAAACTGAAACTAACCTACTTCTTAATTTTTCCTGAGGAAGTGGACTTGTCCATGAAAGCTCACATAAAAATAGAGCAGTCAGTTTTTCAGGTGCTACAAAATTTTTGTCTTAATTATTTTTCATTCTGTTTTTGGCCGATGTTCTTAATTGTTATTTGTTATCTAAAAGTACCACCTGCATGAATGATATCTGGATAATTTATATTTTAAAAATCAGTTCTTTATTTGAAAAATAAAGCTTTCCCAGCACTAGAAAACTGATCCAAACATAGTGTCAATCAAGGTATTACTAATTGATTGGCACATAGTGCACCCACTGAATCTTCTGGACACTCTTCAAGGATAGTGCCACATACTGCTCATTTCAGTAATCAACGCATGATATAACAGAGGCAGGAATGGCTGTTGCAAAGCCAGGCCAACTCAGGAAAGTTCATAATTGGTACACTTCATACCTGCTAAAATTTTCTCTTCTAAGAAACTATTAACCAGTCCAGAAATCCTGTTCTCTTTTTCATGTGGTGACACTAGAATAGGGACACCTCCAAGGAAGGAATCATTCCAGCTTGTCCATCATAACACTTTTGCTAGAGGAGACTACCTTCTTCACTCAATAATAAATCAAAGATTTAATTTATAGTCAGACTACATATCTGACCAAAAAAACACATCAGATTCCATATCATTTATGATGTATTTTTCTTCATTTGAAACTTTCAGGCTTTCTTTACCCACAGTTACGGTCCTGCTTCAAATCCGACCAAGCGTCGGCCTAGTCACGGAAGTATATTTAATTTCCACACATCAAATCGAGATTCGAAAGCTGAATATGGCGAGGATGACTCTAGCAGTACTGGGGAGGCTGAGACACAGCGTGGCTCGCTTCTGGCTTCACGAATAGGGAGGCGGTCAAGTATCCAGAGTCAAGTCAGCTACAGTTCCCGCCCAGCTACTCCAAGCTACATGTTGCCCAGCAGATGGAACCCTGGAGATGATTACACTGGAACCGTCTCATTGATGGGGAGCAGTGGAATTAGACCACTCACTGAGCCTGTATCAGGGGAAGGGCTCTTGCTGCCTCCACTTATGGAAACACCCGACAAGGGAGATCTGGTGAGTAGAAAAGGCAAATAGGCTGATGTGATGCTAAGTAGTATCTGCCAGATATGGCTATCCATCAGAGAGGCACATGGGTTCTGGCCCCAAAGTGCACATGTGAAACCATCTCAGGACATTACACAAGCACATGTACATGTCAGCAATGCTGTTTCCTTGCTGGGAGCGAGCGGAGAGCCTTTTATCACTCCCCCCGCCTAGTCATCGTGAGGCGGAACTGCTTTTCTTTATTGCTAGTAGCATTGAAGAAAAAGTGATAGGTGTGTTTGAAATCAGTGTGAAATCAGTGGAGAGGGATGGTGAGCAGTTAGTGATGGCAGCATGGAATTTGCACATCCCCAAGAAAGCCATACTTAAAAGGGATTGAGTTAAACTCCAGAAGCACAGTAGAGCCATAACTATCAATTTTGGCACCCAAGGCAAGTAGCGCAAATTGTGCCTCCAAATCAACTTTGTAATTCATGACATGAAAATGATACAACAAGCAGTTGCGAGACGTACTGGGGAGGCTGAGACACAGCGTGGCTCGCTTCTGGCTTCACGAATAGGGAGGCGGTCAAGTATCCAGAGTCAAGTCAGCTACAGTTCCCGCCCAGCTACTCCAAGCTACATGTTGCCCAGCAGATGGAACCCTGGAGATGATTACACTGGAACCGTCTCATTGATGGGGAGCAGTGGAATTAGACCACTCACTGAGCCTGTATCAGGGGAAGGGCTCTTGCTGCCTCCACTTATGGAAACACCCGACAAGGGAGATCTGGTGAGTAGAAAAGGCAAATAGGCTGATGTGATGCTAAGTAGTATCTGCCAGATATGGCTATCCATCAGAGAGGCACATGGGTTCTGGCCCCAAAGTGCACATGTGAAACCATCTCAGGACATTACACGAGCACACATACGTGTCAGCAATGCTGTTTCCTTGCTGGGAACGAGCGGAGAGCCTTTTATCACTCCCCCTGCTGTCCAGTCCAGAGGCCTTGTCCTCTGTCGTCCCCTTCTCTTGCCTTCACACTTTCCCAACATCAGGGTCTTTTCCAGGGAGTCTTCTCTTCTCTTGAGATGGCCAAAGCTTCAGGATCTGTCCTACCAGGGAGCATTCAGGGTTGATTTCCTTCAGAATGGATAGGTTTGTTCTCTTTGCAGTCCAGGGGACTCTCAAGAGCCTCCTCTAGTGAATATAGGACCTATTCATGCTGATAAAAACCAACGATTCAGAACCTCTAGTAACTTGAATGACGTGGAGTTCCTATTTATCTTCTCATTGGTTAACTGAATCAAAGATCCAAACTTCTCAAGACATCATCTTTCCCACTCCTCATCCCTACCCATTATCTGCACTGTCTCTAAACAGACTCCTTCATATGATGAAGCCCAGAAGAGATTCCAAAATCAGCGTCTGTCAGTGGAGCATTATCATCACCCCCTTCAAAGACAGCGGGCGCCTAGTGCCGTCAGCATCATTACCAGCGTGCTGGAGGGTATGAGCTTCTCTTATTGTATACTGTACTGATGCCCAGGACACCAGTATGCTGGTGCGTTGAGCTGTTATTTCAAAAGCGTTTAGTTTTCTTTCACTTTTGAGAAATGTTCTTTCTTTCGTGCTTTGTTTAGAACTTGAAGAGTCGAATCAAAAGTGTCCTCCATTCTTGAGGAAACTGGCGTTGAAGTTTCTTGTGTGGGACTGCTGCCCGCTGTGGTCAAAAATAAAGAAGAAAGTGAGCTTTATTGTCATGGATCCATTTACTGACCTCATTGTCACACTTTGCATTGTGATTAATACTCTTTTCATGGCATTAGAACACTATAAAATGACTCCTCAGTTCGACTTTATGCTTTCGATAGGTAACATGGTAAGTGAATTCTGATAAGCAAAATATTGTTCTCTCTCTCTTTTCCTTTCCTTTCCCTTTCTTAGATTTCTGGGCAGCCGTTCATCCACAAAACTGGGTTCATACGTATGTGGTGCTGTTACATGTTATTCATGGCACAATAGGAAGCAAATGCTGTTCCTCTTTTTCTGTCTGATTCTCTCCACCCTCAAGATATTCTTGTCTGGAGAGGAAGTTTTCATTGGGTGCTGTAATGATTGCCCCTTGTCTCTCTGTGTGTGGGAACTATGCTTACGTACAAGATTATGCTCGTTTATTCCCAAAATTTGAACCCAGGTTTCAGAACCATATATACACACAGGAGCACATCCATGAATGCCAAATAAAATCTTGCTGAAAGGCTTCCTGGAATTGAACATAATTGCCAGCTCAATGCTGAGCCCAAATGGACAGTCTAGATGAGTAGGTCATGGAATGCCCTCAAAGCTTTGAAATAAAGCAGCGGGAAAGTGCCCTTTTTATTTAATGCTTTTGGAATTATTATTGAGAAGAACAGGTAACCGTGTTTAGCCTTGCCACAAACAGACCATACTGTGGCAGCGTTGAAACTGACAATGTCATTTTGGTTTTAAAGATTTTCACAGGAATTTTTACTGCGGAAGTCATCCTGAAAATCATTGCAATGGATCCCTATAACTATTTCCAGCAAGGCCCCAATATCTTTGACAGTATCATTGTCTTTATAAGCATCATTGAACTCAGCATGCCCACCGAGACTAAAGAAGACGGCAAGGGGAAAAAAGGAAAGAAAGGAAACTTTACCGTTTTACGGACCTTGAGGCTGGTAATGAATCAGTTTTCTTTGTTTGTTTGCTTACCTTTTAAAGGGAAAAATGAGACAGGGTTGCCAATTAGCTCTGCAGTATGTCATGCAGAGGAGTATTATCTGCTACACATTTACAAAGCAATGTGATAGAATATGTGCCTTACCAGGTAAGTTACTTTTAGACAAGGGAGACTGAATTATCCACTTCTCTAAGGCTCTCTGGAACATTCATGGCCAGGCAAGGGGCTGAAGGCAGTTGCCCATTACCAGCGTTTATCCTGTTTTGCTCGGGAGAGACACAGTTCTATGTTTGGATGGGGTTTATGAATCAATGGCTAGTCCAGCATGTCCCTCTATGTCCATCTTGGTAATGCAGGAGTAGATCCCAAGGCGCTTACAGGCTGCACGTGTCTCTCCAAGGCCATTTTTGTAACCTCCCTACTTCTGGCACTACTTCTATCTTGGTAATGCAGGAGTAGATCCCAAGGCTGCATGTGTCTCTCCAAGGCCATTTTTGTAACTTCCCTATTTCTGGCACTACTTCTGGAAGCACACCTCCAAAGGCCTGCAGTGCCAGTGCAGAGATCTGTCAAAATCATCTTCTTGGGCTTATTTTCCCTTCTGAAAGGAAATGAAACACTCTGTCCAGCAGAGCTTTATGATGTGCGAGGACACTCTGGGAAAACGATTGCCACCATTCCAACTTTAAAAAGAATTACACTGAGCAGAAGCCCCAGACAGCTACTCCTGTTAGCCAGAAATGGCTAATTGGTTTGCTGCAGCTGGATGTCAAAACAAACCACAGTTTACTGCAATGGCAATGAACTGCAACAGTCTACGATTACACTTTCTCTCTTTGTCTGGCTTGACCATCAGGTAGAATTGGGTGGACCTTTTTCCTACCATTTTGATGAAACACAATTTGATGTTTTAATTGAAGCCCCCAAAAAGTATGGATAATAAGAATTGTTTGTTTGAAACTAATCAACTTCAGCCTGTGGGCTATGAACCCAAATGTTAAGTTATCCACAGTTTAGGGTTCAGAGGTATGCTGAACTGTGATTAAAACAGAACTGGAAGTTTCCTATATTTCCTGCCATGCCAGAGGAGAAAATAATGCACAGAGAGGTTTGCTAAGGCTCATTCCATTGATAAAATATAGTTTTCCATTACATCTGACTACAGTACCATGTTCAAGAGTGAATGAAAGGATGGGATGAATCTAAACAATTGGATAGACCGTATTTGTGAATAGATACAGAAACTAACCATTTTTTAACCAACTCTGCTTTTAATAGTACAACCTGATGTCTCTGTTCTATAATGAGGTGATACTTTTCTTCCAAACAGATGCGAGTCTTCAAATTGGCAAAGTCTTGGCCAACCTTAAACACTCTTATTAAAATCATTTTAAACTCAGTAGGCGCTCTGGGCAACCTGACCCTCGTGTTGGCCATTATCGTCTTTATCTTTGCCGTATTTGGAATGCAGCTATTTGGGCAAAGCTATTCCATGAATTGCAAAAAGATCGCCTCAAACTGCAAGCCACGGTGGCATATGCGAGATTTTTTGCATTCTTTCCTTATTATTTTCCGGATTCTGTGCGGAGAATGGATCGAGACGATGTGGGACTGCATGGTGGTGGCAGACATGTCCATGTGTCTCCTTGTTTTCTTGCTCGTTATGGTGATTGGAAATCTTGTGGTGAGTTTTCAGATACATTTTGATGTTTTCTCCCATGGGCAACTGTGTGTGTTTTGCTGTCAATGAAATGGAGAAATGTCTGTGAGAATATCCTGATCATGGAGTCTTGTTATAATAACAGAAAGAAGTGCATGGAGGAAGGTTGGTGGAATTTCCAAAACTGTATCCTGGTCTTCTTTTTTATTGTGCTTTATTTCAAACCATTAGGGAATTAAAAGAAATCTCATCAGAATGAGACTTGAGGAGAAAGGAAAAGCTATTCTAGGCATGTAACTGGGAACTCTGAGAAGGTTGATTGAGCCATCTTTCCTGTCTCTTATTTTAGACAAATCACACCTACATTTGTACGAAAATATCTATTTTATTGAAATGAGAACATCCTACATATGTTCTCAAACCACGTTGAAAGAATCAATACGATTTTGAGAACAAATGTTCTTTTGACCATGAAATTTATCCATCCAGGCCTGTTGCATGATCTTCAGGATAGGTTCTGCATGTAAAGGATGATGCCAGTTCTCTTAGGGTTGTGGGGATCCCACATTGGCTACCACCGATGACATCAGCAATGTGTTCCACAGTCCTCTCTGTAGACTACGTCTATGCAAACCTGCTCAGTGGTTTAGGACTCTGGCTCCCAGCGGCTGGGAGTTCGATTCCTCGCTGTGCTTCCTGGACAGGCGCTCGAATGGATGATCCATAGGGTCTCTTCCAGCTCTGCAGTTCTCAGATTTATTTATATTTATTCATACGGAATGGCTCAATAAGAAAATATGAAGTGAAGATTTCTATATTTCCATCTTGAATGATATTGTTATTGCTGTTAAATTGTTTTTTCGATATGTCAGATTGCTTTTAGTCTATTTTTATTGTTAGCCGCCCAGAGTAGACGTTGTCTAAATGGGCCAGGTATAAGTTTAATAAATAAACAGTTCAGTTAACAGTTGCTTTCTGGTCGCAATCCAAACCCTGGAAGCGGTGGACTGCTCAGAGCAGTGTACTGGCTGAAACAACCAGGAAATCCATAGGGGAAAACAAAGTGATAGGGTAAACCTCTATTTTAGTGGCAGCATCTGGGAACACTGAAGTTGCATGTTTAGTGTGAACCATGAAGGCCACAAAGAGGAAATGGCATGTAAGAGGCTAACTTTGCTGGCTTGCATGTCTCCCCTCCCTCTTCCACGCAGTAGACAACAAACTATGTTGTCACAGTCCTTCTATGGAGGGCAACTATCCATCGTGTCCAAGCCAGAATCAGTTAAAGGCACATCATAACAAGAAATGTCTGTCTTGTTGGTAGGCTCTACTGTGCACCACACACAGACGCTAGTGTTAAGCACTTCTCTCTTGTCAGAAAAAATAATAATGCTAGAGATATTGACAAAACATGTGCTTTTCCGTTGCTTTGAGGTTCTCAACTTGTTCATTGCCCTGCTGCTAAACTCCTTCAGTGCAGACAGCCTCACCCAGCTTCCAGAAGATGACAGGGATGCTAACAACCTGAAGATCGCCTGTGCTCGGATACACAAAGGGCTTCACGGAGCAAAACAGAGGGTGCTGGCATTTTGTTTCAAAGTATTTAGTTATAAGAAAAAAACAGCCCAAAAGAAAATCAAATGCGATGCCGAGAAAAATGGTTTGGAACCTGGGAAAGAGGGTCACCATTCCAAAGAAAGTTACAGCAATACGGAGAAGGAGAAGCATGGAGAAGAATGCTCGGTTAATATGCTGGATGATTTCATTACCAATCCTAGTGTGTTTATCTGTGTTCCTATTGCCGATGCTGAGTCAGATAGCGAGAGTTCTGAAGGGGCTCACGATAAGCAGATCCCATTTGTGGAGACGGACCATACTAAGCAGGTAAGGAGATATCCTGAGATCCTATTTTCACGATCAGAGAAAGACTAAGAGATGTTGACATGGCTCAGAACAAGACAGAATAATACAAGAGTTGTGTTTTTGTACAGTATTCTGTCCCGTTCCCCCAATGTTTTGGCAAAAATCAATACGGCTGAGGGCCAAAACTAAATGAAATGCTAGTTTTGCAATGAAAAGCTGATATACTGTTTTCTCTCATCGGATGCACTCCTTCAAAGCTGCTACATCTACACGATCAGCTTGCCAATGAACCCAGTGACTAATCCCCAAGCAAGAGCTAACTAATTTGCAGCTTGTAGAGCCGAGCAACCAGAAACTAGAATAAATAAAGCATAGGGGATACTGGTCTGTTACTCTCAATGGATGAGGCAAATAGCTGTTGTGGTGGGCGTGTATATATTCAAAGTCTTTCTCCTCATAATTTATTTTACCCCATCTTAGAAAAAAACAGCACAGGAGACTCCTGTTTCAAAAAAAAAAGGAACTCTTTTAAATTCGGAAATCCCAAAATCATCGCCACTCCATGCAAGGGTTTGTTTCGCTTTTTGCAAGTCATTGGGGGGCTTATTTAAGTTTGCTTACTCAAGTAGTAAAGCTGCCAACAGCTCTTCTTGCCTTTCTGTGCAAAAGGGGAAAGGGTATCCCTGCTAAAGGAGATCTATTTCACTCCCTGCTGCCAGGAGACTCAAATCATAGAAGCCTTCCCTTTCTTAACTGGTGGTTTCTGATATCCATGTGGAGCAGGAAACACAAGAGGCAAGAGGGATGTTATTCAGGAAGGATTTGAGCTTGATCACCTATTGAGAGAATAAGTGACCACATCTTCATTCTTTAAAATGGGGGTGGGGGGATACTGTAAAGACAGTGCGATTTCACAGGGATTCTTGCTGGATCCCAATTTGAACAAAACACATGCAAGCATTAACGACTGGCTATCATAGCAGTAAAGCAAAACAGACATTCCAATCTCTATGTCAATGGTCCCTAAGCTACTTATAGCAAGTAATGTATTGGTTCCCAGGCCACCATTGTCCCAGTGGCCTACATGATCATCCCTTGTTATTGTTCAGTTGTTAAGTCGTGTCTGACTCTTCCTGACCCCATGGACCAGAGCACGCCAGGCCCTCCTGTCTTCCACTGCCTCCCGGAGTTGGGTCAAATTCATGTTGGTCGCTTCGATGACCCTGTCCAGCCATCTCATCCTCTGTCGTCCCCTTCTCCTCTTGCCCTCACATTCTCCCAACATCAGGGTCTTTCCCAGGGAGTCTTCTCTTCTCATGAGATGGCCAAAGTATTGGAGCCTCGGCTTCAGGATCTGTCCTTCCAGTGAGCGCTCAGGATTGATTTCCTTCAGAACGGATAAGTTTGTTCTCCTTGCAGTCCAGGGGACTCTCAAGAGCCTCCTCCAGCACCACAATTCAAAAGCATCCATCTGTCGGTGGTCAGCCTTCTTTATGGTCCAGCTCTCACTTCCATACATCACTACTGGAAAAACCATAGCTTTGACTATGCGGACCTTTGTCGGCAAGGTGAGGTCTCTGCTTTTCAAGATGCTGCCTAGGTTTGTAATTGCTCTCCTCCGAAGAAGCCGGCGTCTTTTAATTTCGTGGGTGCTGATCGTCTGTAGTTCATGACTAAACGAAGGGAGATAAAAATGTCTCCTCCCAAGAAGCGGCGTCTTTTAATTTCGTGGCTGCTGATCGTGTGTAGTTCATGACTAAACAAAAGGAGATAAAAATGTTCCTGAGTTCCCATCCTGAAGGTCCCTAAATGAGCCTGATGGACAGATACCGTCAGTCAGCAGCAGCAACACTATGGATATCACCAACTATCTATCTTATGATATTAACCCCTCTTCTGACATGTGCCCTTTCTGGCATGTTGTCAGACTGTAACAGGAAGAACACGTATGTTGGGTTTGTGAAGCTATGTAATTGTGCAGTTAAATCTATTGGGACACTTGTGGGCTTATATATTGTGCCATAGTGCCTAGAGCAGTGGTCCCCAGCCTTGGGCCTCCAGATGTTCTTGGACTACAACTCCCAGAAGCCTTCACCACTACCTCTGCTGGCCAGGATTTCTGGGACTTGAAGTCCAAGAACATCTGGAGGCCCAGGTTTGGGGACCACTGGCCTAGAGCACTCTCTGGGTGGTCTAAAGCATAATTATGAAAACAGGAACTCCCCCCCCAGCTTTTATTGAACTCAGAACAATGAGAGGTTGAGTCAACTCTTGAACCTGACCCTGGGATTGAACGCCGGTTGTGAGCAGAGGTCTGACTGCAGTACAGTATTGCAGTTTAACCACCGTGCCATGGGGATCGTTAAACCTCTTTTTCCATATGTCATAGTCTTTCAGGTCCTACTTGCTGTCAAGCTGTTTTTAAAACACTGATGGGCATGAACCCACACAAATCCGGCAGTTTTAGTTTTCAGTGGTGGCAAAAAATATGTTTATTTAAACAAAAATGAAATCATGAAATCATTGTAGTGAAAACTGGTGGGATGTAATTCTCAGCAGGAGAACCAGCTCCGACTGAGAGGAGAACGCACCAAGAACTCTGAGGAATGGAAGCGAACATCTGAAACCAGCTCTCCTGGGGAGTTTAGTGCACAGTGGAAAGCTCGATCTCCATCACCGGGAGGAAAAGAGGTAAGAGTCATCCACCAATATAAAAGAAGAAAATTGCCCACAATAGTGGAGATCTTAGCATGCTGCAATCACAGTGAGTTTAGATTGTAACAACAATCTAGAATTATTGAACGGTAGAGCTGGAAGGCACACACACACCCCCCCCCGGTTCATCAACTTCGCATATAAAACATCCCCAAGAATTGACCAGCACCATTATTATTTAATTCTATGAATTCAGATCTAAGCCGGTAGCATTGAATGTCTTCATTTGCTACATTAACTAACATTTGAAGGTGATATGAAAGCCTCTGTACCCCTCATTTGATAGGAAAATCCAGATCTGACATTTGGAAAATGTGGGTATCTCGTCCAAATTTAGTCACTTCCATTAGCTACATGGGGTCAAGCTGCTGGTACCTGACCTGAAGGAAAACTCAATGCTATCTCTGTTTGAAGGTTGATCTTAGCAGCTGCTCAGAAGGCAGTACTGTGGACATACATGACCCTGATGAATACCTGAAGCATGTTCCTGAACTTGCTGAGGATATAATGGAGCCAGATGATTGTTTCCCAAGAAGTAAGGATATACTTAGTCAATTTGTTCTTGGCAGAACTATGTAATTTTGGGATCATAGGACTGTCGCTAAAAAGGACCACTCTGTGTTTCTTCTAAAGTATGATGATGGTTTATGGCTATAAAGTGATGTCATGATATAAAGCATGCAGGTTTATGTTTCCGGTTTTGTAACTGCCCTCACCAGCATTGTTAACTTGTATAATGGTTGCACCAACCCTATGCTATGTATAATTTATGATATGTTTGTCTCAGGATTTACTCGCCATTATCCTCGATGTTCCGTGAATACTGCTAAATTTCCTGGCAGAACATGCTGGAATCTGAGAAAGACATGCTACCGAATTGTAGAACACAACTGGTTTGAAAGCTTCATTGTATTTATGATTCTGCTGAGTAGTGGGGCTCTGGTAGGTTCACTCCTCTGATCCCCGTGTTTTTAAACTGGCACTTAACCATTATGCATGACAGAGCAGAACAAAGAAAAAGTAGCAGAAATCCTGTTGCACAGCTCTGCGTGCATGAGGGGAATGACATCGTCATCAACAGCAAATCACCTCTGATTAAAGACAATTTCAGGGAGCACACAATTCGTACACAGTACATCGTCATCAACAGCAAATCACCTCTGATTAAAGATGGTTTCAGGGAGCACACAATTCGTACACAATTCATACACAATTTATACACAATTCATAAGTTGTGTTCATCCCAAAACTGCCCAGGGAAGCCTTTAACTTCCCAAGATAAGTTCCTTTTCTCTCTCATTCTCATCTTTGAGTCTGGCTTTGTGAGGTTTTTTTTTTCCAAAGCTTTCCATAGTTCTTAATCTCTTCCTCTGTTTACTTTCCTACAAAAAAGTCCGTTGTAATGTTTGATACAATATCTATCCCAGTTTTACAGAATTAGGTTTAGTCATGGTGTCTTGATGATGTGGAAAATTTCCTCGGAGCAACTGGTCATGTGTCCCTTTGATCCATGTCCTTTCATCCCGTCTGATTAGGTCTAAGAGAAAGGGTATGACTGGGTGGGTCCAGGGCAGAGCTAAGGTATCTTGGTGCCAGGAGTTGTATGTCCTGTTGTTAAAAAGGCCACCGTGCCCCACTCTTGAAGAAATGTAGCCCAAATCCCTTGGTGTTCATCAACTACATCCCAATTGCAAATATTCCATTTACTGTATATTGGAATATAAATGGAATATTTATTCCACCAACTTCCAGAGTACTAGGAGGACATTGATTATCATGATCCATTTCACCCTGGGTTCAAGGCTCGGGCCCTGATAGATTATATTTGTCTCAAAAGGGACAGAGAAAATATACTTTATTGCTCCTTCTCAGTTTCTTCATGACTGTTCATAGCTCCAACTATGACATTCTCTCAGACTATATTTAAAGGACTGGATTTGCTCCTTCTTTATAAGAGTACGCCCAATCCAGTGTGTAGGGCTAAACCCAGAGAGTATCAATGAACTACTCTTACAGGTTCAAGGTTTTGACGTAAACAGCTTAAGCCTGAGCTTTTCTGAGGTACCCCATATTTGCCAATATGTTCAGCTATAGGATACATATTATCCTTCTTCTGTACTGCTTTTCTTGTGTCTACTAAAAACATTCACTATACTTAAACCACATTTAGGCAATTCCCTGCCAATTCATATTAAGCAAGATTACTTCTGTCTTTTTCCATGCCTTGCTAAAAACATTTGTTTCAATGCATGCTCTCCCCTGTCTGCAACCCAGCCCTGTGTTTCTCCCATTGCTTTTAAGGCTGATTATTAACAATGGCTGAAATCCTGTTGCTAGAAGTTACACCACATAAGGCAGAAGAGATCATCAGTCATGACGGTTTTTCAGAAATTAATGTTCTGGTTTCTCACGGCCCCTAACAGCTTCCCCATTGATGGAAGGGGGTCCTTGGGAGTTTTAGTGGTGGGGTGGGTCAGAAATGTTTCATTTCCAAAAAATCACTGCAACTGATGATGACACTATCAGCCATATGTGGCGTAAGTTACACAATAGGATTTCAGCCATTGTAATATTATTTAGTCTATCCTATTGGGTCTCTGTGTGGTTCACCTTTCAGACATTTGACAAGAATTCGGCATAATATGATTTTAAAAGGAGGGGGGTAAAAACACACCTTTTTGGTCTGGCGTATGATGTCTTACCTGCCCTGCTGTATTATTTTTAATATGTATACTTGCTGCTTTTAATGGTTTTTAATGTATTGTAGAGCTGGTTTATATGATTTTATGGAGCTATTTTTTGCTGAACATGATTTTACCTGTTTTTATTCTGTCAAAAAGTTTATAAGCCACCTCAGCACTATCTTTTAGTGGAAAGGCATGGCATAAATGTAATCCATAAAAAGGTGAACATTTCCGATTAAATAAATAAATGAAGAGGGCAGTGCATTGTAAAAGTTAATTCTGTTTGATGGTTAGCTAAGATAGACCTTCTTGTTTCAGGCATTTGAAGATATTCACTTGAACGGAAGGCCAACCATTAAAATTATGCTGGAATATGCGGACAAAATATTCACTTATATCTTTGTCCTGGAGATGCTGCTGAAATGGGTGGCTTATGGATTCCACAAATATTTCACGAATGTTTGGTGCTGGCTTGATTTCCTCATTGTAGACGTAAGTACTGCATTTGGAAAAAAATGTGGAATTCATTACTTCAGCTTTCAAGAGAACGTGACTGAGCCGTCCTGCAATTTACTTGCCAAGGATGTTTTTATAATAATTGTTAATTGCTTTCCCAGCCACCATAGCTTCTAAAGCAATATATAATAACATTAATCTAAAACAGTATTTAACAAAAGTGTACAACCATTTTTAAAAAGTCAATTAAACTAGGTTTTTTTTAAACATTCAATGTGAATTAATATAATGGTTGTTGTGGGTTTTTTGGGGAAACAGTATTTAACAAAAGTGTACAACCATTTTTAAAAAGTCAATTAAACTAGTTTTTTTAACATTCAATGTGGATTATTATAATGGTTCTTGTGGGTTTTTCGGGCTGTGTTCTGAAGGTTGTTCTTCCTAACGTTTCGCCAGTCTCTGTGGCCGACATCTTCAGAGGACAGGAGTAGCACTCTGTGCTCTGGTGCAGTTTGTTTGGAGAGTTGAGTATTTATAGCTGTGGGATCAGCCTTTGTCCTTTTCAGGAGATGGGTGATTATGGTGATCAGTGTGTTTTTGTTGTGGGTGTATTGTTGTGATAAGGAAGATTATTATAGTTTGCTAGAAGTATGATTGCTAGAAGCTCAAATAGGATGAAGCCAGTGAAGAGGATGTTCTATAGGCAGAGCAGTGCTACAGAAACCTGTCTTTTTCTGTCGAGTAGAAGAGACTTTACTATAGTTCAGACCGTTATTATATTATAGTTTGCTAGAAGTATGATTGCTAGAAGCTCAAATAGGATGAAGCCAGTGAAGAGGACGTTCTATAGGCAGAACAGTGCTACAGAAATTTGTTTTTTTCCGTTGAGTAGAAGACTTCACTATAGTTCAGAGTACCTACAGTCTGAGCCTCCTGTACCGTTTTTTTAGAGACATAGGACTAATGTCTCAATATGGTTTGCATTAAAACCTCCCTTTCCCTTCTTCTCTCTCCAAAGTTCTGGCTGTCAGAGGCAAAATCAACGCGGTGCCGTTTGCCATCTCTTTTGCTATACAAGCACCTTCTGCCCTTCTGTTTCATAAAATATTTTGGTTATGAAGCCTGTGTAATATATACACTTGACCGCAGAGATTAGCATGGCTATTAGTATATGGAAAGGCTTATTATTGAGTAAGCCTGCACACCTTTCCAACACATGATACCTCTGGACATTGCTGTTTCACCTTATCAGTCATCAATCTGTAAAACAACATGGCTTGGCCTGCAGAATTTCCTCAGACATGTTCATTTCCAATTATTAGAAAAACAGTCATCAATCTGTAAAACAACATGGCTTAGCCTGCAGAATTTCCTCACATTTGCCTCAGGTACCTTTTCTCTGCCCCTCCTCTCTCAGAATTCTGACAGGAAAACTGCTGTGCAACCCTGATGCGTGTTGGTGATATACTTACCTTGCTTGAAAGAGCCACCCGTCTCTAACAAGCTGAAAGAAAACAGACATTTGTTCATTTCCAATTATTAGCAAAGGAAATACTAAAGGATTCTAGCTTCAGAATGAAAAACAGAGGCAGCATAAGCTTTCTCCTGTACGATTCCAGCGTGCATAATATTTAAGAGCATTTGAGCCCCTGCTCATAAGTGCGTGAAGTCAACCAATAGTTTTCTTCCATGATAAATATGAATAATGTACCTAGTCCCCCCCCCAAAAAAATTCATTGAAGCATATGCATTTTGTAAAATGAGGAAAAGAAAGGTTCACTGTGTCAATTCACTTCTTAACTTCAGTGTATCAACTCTTCTTAATCGGGTACTGCTGTATCAATGTTTATCAGATTTTTTTTTCTGAATTCTGGCACATTTCTAGATATCATCAGGTATCATCAGTGTGCAATAGCAGAACCTTTTGTTTTTGAGATTGGCCTTTTGTGCCACTTTTATCTGTACCTCTATCTATCTGTAAATAGAAATTTGAGGTATGTTGTTCAAGGATTTCCTGCGCTGTTCCTCAAACTCATCTCTAGATTGCGCCTCTCGTATCTGAGAAACTTGTGTTTATTTATTTAAAATATTTTTACCCCGCCTTTCTCCTTAAAAGGACCCAAGGTGGTTTACATCATTAAAAAGGCAATATTTAAAAGCCAACAGCAGTAGGTAACACTAATATTAAAAAAGAATTGAACAAGAATCATATTAAAAATGCTTGATAAAATCAATACTAAAAACACATTTAAAAGCCACAGAGCACAACACACCTCTGTTAGGATTTTGGTTTGATTTCAGAATAATTACATGAAATTTTGAATCCAGAATAGAAATAGATTAGTCAGATTGATACTCAATATTGCTGCTTTAAAATCCAACTGGAAGTCATTTGTGAGTATGTGTGTGTATACAATGCTAGAATGACTAACAACATAGAAATACTGAACTATTATAGCAAAACATTCTGGCTTCCGCCTTCTGCAGCTGCTCAGAATCAAGTTTGCATACTTTGATTTAGAGTAGTTGAAAAATGCAGAAACATAAAGTGTTTTGATGTAACACTTCAGTACTTCTTCTTTGTTAGTCTCCCTAATAAGTATTTGTTCTAAATGATTAATTGCAATCTTCTGAAATACACAACAAACGTACTGTTGTTTTACTTGCTGTTCAGTGCTTTAATCTGTCTTTCTACATACATGTTTACTTTTTAGTTTATTTTACAGTGGTGTCTCACATTACGATGTTATTTCGTTCCAGTTGCTGTTCAGTGCTTTAATCTGTCTTTCTACATACATGTTGACTTTTTAGTTTAT